CCTTTTTAATAAAATTGTTTTTGCCATTCAATGGTCCATCCAATATAATAATTGTAAAATAGTTTTTCGTTTTTAATACTTATAAATAATTAAGGAAATATTTTTTTGGAGCAATTTAACGTTGAGTCGTTGACCAGGATGGATCTCACATGTTTTCACTGTAGAAATCATCCCAAAGACCGACGGACGAAACCTTCAAATTCATTTTAAAAAATATCGGTATAGACATATTTATCTTAAAAAAATAAAAATAAATTATCTTTTTAAATCATAAATCAATATAAATCATTTTTTTTTAATGTTAAAATTTTATTTACCACATCAATATTTTTTAATAAAAAATATTTAAAAAATAATTTATATTAATTTATGATTTAAAAAGATAATATATCTTTCTTTTTTTTAGAGTGGATGTGTCGATATTTTTTAGGCTGCATTTGTCGGTTCCGCCAAAGCAAGTATATTGGTCCACTTTTTACGCAAACTGGTTTCTTTTTCTTCTCACTTTCTCGTCATCTTCCTCTTAGCTCGGTTTGATGACTATAAATACCATTAGAAGAGCCAGATCATCAACAAAACAGAGTACAACATTGTACAACGCACAAATCAAAATTAGCATCCTCCCAAAATGCCATCACCACCTTCTTCCCCTAACTTAGAATCCCCACAGCCAATTCCACAACCACCACCCCTTATCGGAATTGACTTGGAATCTCAACAATTTAATTCAGATGTTGCTCAACCGAATCTGCAATGGCAAAATGCCATACTTTCATTTTGCTTTACATCTGCCCTACAAATATCTCTCCAGTTTGCAAAAACTCAGTTCAAACTGCCTCTCTCCTTCAGTTTGGTTTCTTTTGCAATCTTGATTACCTTTGCCTTTCTCTTGCTTGCAAAGTTTATCAGCAGGGATCATGCCAGGGTATCCCAAGAGTTGGAGAAAGTTGCATTTCTCATTGCTGCAGCTACATTCTGCTACACCACCACAATTCCCTTCCCAATAGGCTTCAAGTTTGTTATCTGGTGTATCTTTTCCATTTCCTTGCTTATTCTTGTCATTTACAGCAAGTACTTCTGCCGTCCTGCTGCCTAAAGCAATACCAAGGCATTTTTTCCTTGCAAATTGCAGTTAAATGAAGATGGCCTGACTAGAGCCTAGAGGTTTTATAAATAAAAGAACTGTACTGCTGGGAAACTGCATTCATTTGGCTTTCGCTAGCCACACATTATAAGATGAGCAAAGATAGTAAAGAAGATTTATTGTTCCTTTTATCACTCCATAGTTTTACCTTCAATTATGAATAGACAAAAATATGCTCTTTTCTATTTGGATGTATGTGCAAGATAGCTGAATTGTGTATTTGAGAGTAATTACAAATTGCAATCATTTGTTTGGTTTCACTCTAAATCCTTCTAATCTTGATGCAGTGATTCTAGCTAGGCTTCTAAATAACTTGCATTTTCGAGTTCTACTTTAGGCAAAAACCCTTCTTAAGCCCCCAAACTCAAGTTCTGGTCTTTTTCTTTTTTCAAAATTGTCCAAACCGATTACCCTCCTCTCCGATCAACAAAATTTCGTATCTGAAAAATTTTTTGGTTTCCTCCTTCAACGGCGACTTCTCGAACGACCCTCCCGCTTTTCTTTCTCGTTCACCTCTTCTTGTTTTCTTCTTCTTCTTCTGCTTCTGTTATTTCGCTTCCTTCCGATTCGGATAAAGTTTCGGTGGCTTTTGTACTATGAATCCCTGTGCCCTTACAGTGCCAATTTCATAATCAATTACCTCACTAAGCTCTTCGAAGATGATCTCATCTCCATCGTCGACCTCCGCCTCGTCCCTTGGGGAAACGCCAAGCTTAGAGGGAACAACACCATTGATTGCCAGGTGCTGAGGCCTCCTGTTCATGTTAACAAGTCTTCTTGATTGTCTAGGGTTCGCTGATAATGAATTTTTGTTTTTGTTTCTGGGTGCAGCACGGCCCATATGAATGCTTATTGAACACTGTGGAAGCTTGTGCCATCGATATCTGGCCTCAACTGGTATGCATCAGCCTCCAATTCTTTCCTTTTCCTGTATGGTATAGCTTTTTCTTATGGAAATTCACCTGAATTATTATGAATAGAGATGCATTTGGGAATGAAGTTAAAAATCTAAAAATTTTATCTTCTTTAGACCTAATCAAATTTGCAAGTAGATATGAGGTATATAGACAAACAGTGGGCAGTCTCTTTCAGCTTTCAGGAACTTATCAAAGCCATGAATTTTTGATGCAGAATGAACATTTCCCTTTCATCAATTGCGTTGAAACATTGGTGTACCAGCGCCAGTACCCTGAGTGGGAATCCTGCTTTGAGAAATTAGGATTGGACTCTAAACTCATTGCAGATTGCTACACTAGTGGACATGGGAAAGAGGTTAGTTTTCTATTGTGTAGTTGTGTTCATTCCTACTCAACTAGACAATTGAGATGAAAAATAATGTAAAGTTTGTTGCAGTGTCTCACTAACTTTTCAATCTTGCATGTGTGTCTATTTTTATAGCCTATCAAAATCAAGTACTATTGAGTGGTAATAAACTTCTATTTCAGGTTGAGATTTCTCTTTCATATTGGGAGTGCCTCATGTCTGTATCTATGCACCCATAACCAATATACATTTTTAGGACCTTTGTTCCCCAACTAGTTTCCATGACCTATAATGAGTTATTGCCAGGCATCTCAATCTCATCTACCTTGAAAAAGGTGGAAATATAGTGTTCTTCTTTTGTCAATTTCTATAAGGTGATTTGATAAGTTGTTATAATTTTATTTGATGTTAAAATCGTTGTCTTGAATTATAACTTATACTCTGCAAGGGCAGTAAATAGAATGGGAAAAAAGAAAAGAACTAAGTACTGCTCAGCTGTCTAATAATTTCTTTTGATTTTTCATGTCTTGGAAGGTGACCCTTACTACCAGAATTATTCCACTCTTGTTATTTTGTTTTTTTTTACCAGATATTAATCTTTTTCCTCTTCTGTTTTCTTATACAGCTTGAACTAGAATATGCAGCTGAAACAAACAGCCTGCATCCTCCACACAA